GGAGGAAGGAAAGGGAGAGAAAGGGAAAAAGTAAAATATAAATTATATAATTCATTTTTTTATATACAATATGTGCTTATTTAAAAATTTTTTTTATAATTATTAAAATCATAGACTAATATATGATGAATTATATCAGGATTGTTTACGACTTTCTAGACTATGATACTTTTGTATGCTATATTTTGTTAAATTTATTAGAATCACTAACTACAGAGGAACATACCAGATGCGTTTTTCATGAGTTTTTTATTGTCTTGTGACTTCGGCGTGTTACCAGCGCTCATTAGGTCTCTCATTTCCGCAGCAATTTTTAACGGCGCCGGTTGACGTACCTCGCGAATCAATGAGCCAACGGCGACGACATCGTCTTCGACAGTCTCGTAAGGAGCAGATCTAGCCAAGGAGTTGCAAACAAGCAGATGCAAAAGCAATGACACAAACAGTTTCCAATACATCTCGCAAGAGATTACTTTTAATCTCGTCGGTTTCAAAGATTCCTTGCCCGTTCAATCTATCTCGCTGAATCTTTTATATCACTCCCACCTTTTAGATAAAATCCTAACAGTAGCAGTAGACATTGCATGTATTCGTATCGATCTTGCAAGCCGTCACTGTGGCCAATCGCTTAAACGGACAATTTGGCTTGCGCCTCGCTAATTTCGCAACATCATCCGCAGCGGTCGTCACCGAAGAAAAGAATTGTATTGTGCGAGCTCAAGATTTTTAGATCGATTATCGACCAATCCTTCTATCGATCTAAGAAATTAGAAAGAAGCGGTGATTATATCACTCACCGTCGATTTATGTAAAGGTATATTTTCGTCATCGAGGAAGTCACGTTTTCGGGTTTCATCAACCGAGTTCATCAACGATGGCGTGGAATTGATCTATTGCGCTTCGCCGTTAAGTCAAAGTATTGGACAGCGCGATGTTATCTATACCGTGTGTATCGCATGAGTGATTTCGCGCTTTCCACAATCGCGAGCGTAAAAACTGTGGAATCAAGTTGCCGATAGCTGATAGAATTGTCTGACATAACAGAGTCTAGTACGTTGCCCTCTTAAAACATTATGACTCTGTTTGTGCTGCACTGTAAAGTTTTATTTAGAACTGAAAAATTAAGTTCTCTTTCTTCCTCTCCCTTTTCTCTCTCGGTATTTTATCGATAGAAAATATTTCTAGAATACTATGTATTAGTGTATTCGATTGTGTTCGATATACAAATATAAAGATTAGAATTCAGCCCCATGCTTCAAATTAATTTCAACGAATGAAATACTTTTGGAAAAAAAAGGCATGATAAAGACTGCTGTAAACCATCATATTGAATTCACTTTGATATAGGATCTGTAAAGGATTAAATTCAGCTGTATTTAATATCGAGAATATGATGGGAAAACGCATTTGCGTTTTATTGGTTTTAACTTTGTGCATGTATTTCTGTGTTTTGATCCATACTAATATTTAACATAACGACATGAAATGTAATATGGGAGAAGCAATTAGTTCGGAATCGTTATCGCCAAGCGATGTTATATATTAATGACCTAGTGAGATCTCCAGTAATAATTATTATTCGTACTGGACGGTTTAGTATTGGATAAAATAAAAGCATTACGTGTATATGAGATCTGTCGTCGCCACGATCGGTATTCATTACGAGATGAGAACGTTCGCTTTTAAAACCGTAACAAGAAAAAAACTGTGTTTTAATCGTGTTTTAGTTTTTATGTTTAACTCTACGTTTAACTTGCAATGCTCTGTGTACGCATGAATGCGTATACTTAAATAATTCAGGATTGGTCGAAAGCATCGAGGAGACGTTGAATAACATTTTTGCGACATATTATTTCACGATCGTTACATGACTGTTCCACTTTAATGATTATCAGAAGTTTCCAATAGAAAGAAAGATAAAGTTTTTGTCAGGAGAAATCAACACAAAATGGAAATGTATTTTGCTTACGTCAATTTGAGATATCTTCAGGCTTGTAATAATATTTCATAACACATTAATCCATAAATTGTGCTTTTTGATAATAAGTTGGACACTTCTTTTTTTGCGAAATATTGCACTTAATAGATTTTAGATTAATTTTTTAATAATTTATTTGAAAGAAGATAATTTATTAAAATTATTTTTTAACAAGGAAATTATTTGTTTCAGTTATTTAATTTTAAAAATTGTAAGATATAGATTGTGAGTTTATTAATAATAAATTTCTAAATTTCTATGTAAACTGTTTTTGCTGTTTGCTGTTTTTTAATCTACTGTAATGAGAAAAAAATTTTAATTATTTTATTATTAAAAATTTTAAATGTATTATAACTTAATATATTAAATATTATTATATTTAATATTTACGTTAATTATACGTTTTTCTTATTTCTAAAAATTCTATTTTGAAGTGCATTTTGAAGATTTTAAGTGCATTATTAATAATAATGGCATAATAAAAATTAGACTGAATTATTAATATATTGCATCATTGTCTATATGTCAATGAAAATGGAGACCCAAAAACCGATTATTAATGTCAGCTGCTGTCAACGCAAGAAGCTACTAAATCTCAAACTTCATTCGCATTCGTTCACTTGGCGAGAGGCGCAGAAGACGTTAGGATGATCGTCACTTAAAACCATGCGACCCGTGTCGACGACGTTAAGCGTCTTAGATAGTTGCTGCGCTAGCCAGTTTCCTTGGCATAATCTGGTAATTTGAAAATCTCGGATGGAATGTAACACCTCGTACCAGCCATCGTCTTGGATGTACTAAGATCCTCGTTTCACCAACCCCTGTTGCATCATCGTCTCCCTCCAAATCGCCCAATGCGCGCTTTCCAAGTCGCAATCCTCGAAGCAAAGTAAAGCCGGTGGTTCCAGAAATAGCCGAGATGAAGGGGTTGCATCGCGTCAAGGGCTGCATCCTGATTAGGGTAAAAGGAGGAGTCTGAGTAGTCTCATTGGTATGCAAGACCCGCCAATCCCTGCGATTTACTCAGTACTCTCTTTATACAAATATGCTGCATTATATATGAGCGAATTTGTACCGGATAACAAATTCGTAAATCGGTTTTCCTTGTATTGATTTTTATTAAATATTTGATAATTCAAACTTTATTTTAATAAGTTAATTTTACTTGAATTATCGTATATCTGCGTAAACATATAAAGCTATATATACATTTATAAATTATAGAAAAAGCTATAAAGCTATAAGAAAACAAATACAATTGAAAATTACACATCTGATATCTCCAATATTTTTATCGGAAAATAATTTATTCTTTAAAATATTTTATTATCCATGTATCTGTATATTTTTTGAATAAATCTCATTACTGCTTTCTACGGTTGGAATGAGAAACTTGATATCTTTATTCCTGTAAGTAATATGGAGATAAATAGAAGTATCTTCAAATGGTAACGCTCAACACTGTAGAAATGATAGAGACATCTAACATTGATATAAGCATCTTTCATATCCAGAGAGTTTAAAATATTGATTTTGATTCGAAATGCTTATCATGAAATATTTCTATGAAAAGATACATTATCCAAACAACATGAATCTAAAAAAAACATTCTAAAGACATTTTTATTTTTTGTTAATTATTTTGTATATTCTAAAAATGTACTTAGAATATTTACACGACATATTTATTATATATCCTCAAAATGTGCTCAAAATATCCATTTGGTATCGCTTGCATATTCTCAGGATGATAAATATATCATGACGGTAAAACCGTTTTTATCAGCAAGTAATAAAATAGGAAACATATAAATTTTTTTGAATATACAATATTAATTCTTCAAATTATTTGGCATGTAATTATTATTAATTAAATGTTGATTTTTATGATAGCAACAAGTTTGTAAGCATTTGATTATTGACTATCGGTAATAGATTTACTGTTAGTAAATAAAAAATTACTATCTGTTAATATATTAATAAATTGTAATTAGATAATCTATGTAATAAGATCGATAGTATTATGAATACATTTGAAATATACATTTATTAATGTAACATTAATGTGACATGGATAAAGGTAAATGGATACATGATTATATTAATATTGCGTATTCGCATACACATATTACATAAGATTATATTGAATATAAATAAAGGCTATTTATAAATGGATCTTAGAAATATAAAAAAAGTTTTACATACATAAAAATCGATTAACTTAATAAACTTCTTAGTAGATCCAGAAGATGTCGATACCATGTCGCATGTCCCCATACAACACAAAATCCAAAATTAGGGTATAATTAAGACATAAGAGATCTTTTAGATATTTTCGCAAATATGTCTTTAAGATATCTTAAAAATGTTTTAATTTTGGACTTTGTATTATTGTCTAGCTTTTATTTATACATTTCTCGATTGATATGCACAATCATTTAATTTTCATGAATTCATTAATCTGAATTCCATACATTATTGACACCCAGAGAATTTATATATATTTATGATTTTGTGTAATAGTTCTCTAAAAACTGAAGAAACAAATTAATGTACGAAAAATAAGATATAAGATATTATAAGATATAAAATCTATGAATATATTTAATATAAATGGAATCAAAAGCTAAAGTTCATTTTTTTATTTATATTATTTTTAAAAATACTAAATATGTATATTTAATGTTCTTCTTTATAGATCTTGAAAGAAGTTCAACAGTATGAGTATTTAATATATGATATCTCTCGCAATAAAAAAAAGCTTTTAACAACGATTCTATTTTTTATTTTTTAATTAGTCTATATTGTATAATAATGTAATAACTGGTAAAAGTCTATATTTTTAAGCATGAAAATTCCAATTAATACATTCCATAAAATGTGCGTTAAAAAAAATTATAGTTTATTCAATATATTACTTTCAAAGGCGGATATTTTTATTATTAAACATACTTCAATTACTTTAATTGAACATCTTTGTTAAGCGAGATGTTCTACATCATAAAAACATGTCATTTCATATCAAATATCGAATTAATCTGGCAAGGATGTTAGCTCAGTGGGCGAAGGGTGGTGGCAGTAGATGAGATATGGACAGACGAGGGAGAAGAGCGACGCAATTAGGAGAGAACATAAATCCCACAGTTTAGCACACTTCCTCGCCATGCCAGCAGATCGTGGAATACAAATCAATCAGCATAACGGTCGACTGAGCATTTAATTTCCATTCGGCTTCTGATCGAGTGGGATTCGCCGATTCCGCAGCGCTGCGTGTCGGTGCTTTGCCGTGGAGCCGCTTGTGTGTGGCAGCAGGGCCACCGTAGACACACGCGATATCTCGATCCCGCATATCCCGTGTGTTCACCACTCATCCTATTGTGGAATCTCTCGAAACGGGTCAAACGCAACGGACGACGGGACGCAAAAAGGATTTTGCGCGTCCCGTAACGAGCTCGACGATGGCGCGATTTCGATACGTACGCGATGCGTAATAATTCGAGTTTGCACGAACGGCCGGTTTTATGCGTGATCTCTCTTTAATACGATATTCGGAACAAGATGTTACTCGCGTCTACAAATGTCCAACTTACGACAA